GTGTGCAAGGGGAGAGGGGTGCAGACACCCTCACTATGATCACAGCACTGAGGACAGGGTGGAAAAGGAGCCCCTGGAGACCCCACAGCCCAACCCTCTGCCCCAGCCAACGATCTCTCCCTCCTTCCTCAAAAGGGATGGCTGAGCCATTTGAAATCTCCAGCTGTGGTGGTCCCAGGACCTCCCTTTCCATCACCACATTACCCTCACTCTGGGAGGCTTCACCCAACTCTCCTACTGCAACCTAGGCTTGCTCCTCTTCATCCTTAGCCCACCTGCCAGTTTTCCACCTAGACCCTAAGAAGCACAGGCAACCCTCCCACCCCATCTCTAGCAGGTTATCAGTCTATATACACATTCAGTTGTAGGAATTATCCCACCATAATCCATATTGCCATGAGGAAACTTGCAGATCCTCATCAACTGTGTAATGATGAAGGCTCCTGTCCTTATCCACAAGTGAGGACAACTCAAGTGAGGACCAAGAATCACCTCCCAGGAGTGCAGGAGCTCCATCACTGTAACATCAGGAGGTCACAGCATCATAGGTACCACTCATATGTCTGCTGTCCTAGTAGGGGCAGCTAAGATGGACCATCTAGGGCAAGATCACAGGCAGTGAGACTTATTTCTCCTGCATGCATTGCTACAGCCACAGGAGATGTCTCCTAATGCTGGAACACGCTGCATCATCCAAGTTTCTGCTGATAAGACCTTAAAGGTAGTATACTCCTTGCCCTTGTTTCTTTGAAGAGGGGGACCTCACAGGAATGGGTTTCTGCAGAGCCCAAAGGGAATGCAGTCATTGTGAGCTTATTCCCATTTTCCTCATGCCCACACACGCTGTCCTGCACAACAAATCACTCTTTCTCCTCCCAGGCATTCCCGCCCACCCAACGCATTGCTGCACCCTTCCAGCTTCCAGCCTCCAGCCATGCCAGGCAAAAAGGGCCCAGGTTGCTCAACCCTCCCCTCTTGGAGGGAAGATTTCCTTTTCCCACTGCTTCTGGTGTCGAAGTATTTCCACAACTCAGCAACCCACCTGGGGACAAATCCTGGTCTCAGTGGGGTGAACGGGATGAGGAGGGGGCTCCACTACTTGTCATAGAATCATAGAATAGTTAGGGTTCGAAAGGACCTTAAGATCATCCAGTTCCAACCCCCCTGCCATGGGCAGGAACACCTCACACTACACCATATCACCCAAGGCTCTGTCCAACCTGGCCTTGAACACTGCCAGGGATGGAACATTCACAATCTCCCTGGGCAACCCATTCCAGTGCCTCACCATGCTTACAGTAAAGAACTTCTTCATTATATCCAGTCTAAACTTCCATTGTTTAAGTTTTAACCCATTACCCCTTGTCCTATCACTACAGTCCCTAACGAACAGTCAAGCTGCTCCTGCCTGTCTCTGCAGCTGGGTTATCTCAACCCATAGTGTTTCTCTTCCTAATGCCTCCCTCCAGGGAATGGTCTGAGTCTCCATCCTGCTTCCACCAGCCCAGCTTCAGCATCCCTCTGGGCTGCTCAGTCCTTGTCCCACTGTGGGACCCCATTAGCACTTCAGTGGACAGACTACGAGCCTTGGCCCATGCAGCGTCTCACAGGTGATCCAAGAAAGAGACCACGGCTCCTCTCTGCCCCAAGACCAGGCAGCATGGCAGGCATGAATTCACACAGCTGAGATCACAGTTCCAAAGAGGCTGAGTCCATCCTGGCCAAGGGGATGGTCCCCACATGGGGCTAAGCTCTACACCATGCCTGGCAGTGTGCGCTTGCAGCCCAGAAAGCCAACCATACCCTGGGCTGCATCGAAATGAGTGTGACCAGCAGGTCGAAGGAGGTGATCCTGCCCCTTTACTCTGCTCTCATGAGACCTCACCTGGAGTATTGTGTGCAGTTCTGGTGTCCTCAACATAAAAAGGACATGGAACTGTTGGAACAAGTCCAGAGGAGGCCACGAGAATGATCAGGGAACTGGAGCACCTCCTGTATGAAGATAGGCTGATAAAGTTGGGGCTGTTCAGCCTGGAGAAGGCTGCATGGAGACCTCACAGCAGCCTTCCAGTATCTGAAGGGGGCCTATAGGGATGCTGGGGAGGGACTCTTCATTAGGGACTGTAGTGATAGGACAAGGGGTAATGGCTTAAAAAAACAGGGGAAGTTTAGATTGGATGTAAGGAGGAAATTCCTTCCTGTTAGGGTGGTGAGGCACTGGAATGGGTTGCCCAGGGAGGTTGTGAATGCTCCATCCCTGGCAGTGTTGAAGGCCAGGTTGGATGAGGCCTTGGGTGATATGGTTTAGAGCGAGGTGTCCCTGCCCATGGCAGGGGGGTTGGAACTTGATGATCTTAAGGTCCTTTCCAACCCTAACTATTCTATGATTCTGTGCCAGGGAGGTGTGAACATGGCTGTGGGCTGGATGCTCATGGCTTATCCAGAAGCTCGGCTCTGCATCCTCTGCCCCCTCCTAACCCCATTCCAGCTCCTGTCCCCATCCTGTGTGACCCCACCAGCCAAGGCAGCACAAGCTGAGACACAGCACCAATCCTGCTGGAGCTCCAAGTCCTTAGAGGCTTTGATCCCTCATGTGCCGTTGCCTGGAAGCCCTTAAATTTTAAGCCACCAGATCTAGAGGTGGCATGGGAGGGAGGAGACAGAGCAATAAGAAGGGGTGGGAGAACAGTGTTGTCCCACATCACCCCATACCGTGGCCAGCTCTGGTCCCAGTGTATTGCCACTTTACCTCTTGTCTATTCACTTCCCATGCTTCCTCCGCAGCCATCACAACAGATGTCACCCCACAAGCAATGTGAATGCTCCCGCTCAGGGTTTCATCCGCCCTGGCCCCACTGCTTGTCCACGTGGCAGCTAAACGGGACAGATCACCTGGCTCCAGCAATCCCACGGGCATGCTCCAACCATGGTCTCCACTGTGATGCTCAGCTCAGAAACTGCCATCATCTCTGCAGCAGTGCTACATCCCATTGCATCAAACATAAATAAGCCTTTATTTAAGATTTTCAAAGATCCCCAGCAAGCTAATGGCCTTTAAACCATAGCGTGGTTTTGCTCTCTGGGCACAAAGAGCATCCAAAAATACCCTTCTCCGATGCTTTCTTAGCACCACTCCAAGACTCGTAAATATGCCCAGAGCAGTGACTGGCCTCCAGAAAGGGAGCTGGGCCACCAAAGCTGGAAGCAGGGCCATGTTTGTTCCTTCCTCACCCCTATCCCCAGCTGGCTGGATGCTATCTGGTGGCAGCGCCTTGCAGAGTGACAACCGGGTGATCGTCATGCTCAGGCAGCAGCACCACTGAGACGTCAGCACGCTCCTTGTGCTCCCTGCTACACCCTTGTTCTGCATGTTCAAAGCCTGTTTATTGAAATGGTGCTGGGCTCAGTGCTCACTGTGCCAAGAATCACAGCTCTGAGTGTCCACAGCCCTGTGGGGTCAAGGCTAGAGGGTCTTGCATACCCTGGAGTATCCATGAGTTGGAGCCAGCGTCCCAAATGGAAACACTCATGAAGAATAGTGTGAAGGGAGCGGCGCCCCTGCAGTAAGCGGCAAAGCCAGCCAGAAGCATCATTTAATAATCCCATGATTTAATGGCACCTTGAAACTAGTCCCTCACCTGCTTGCTGCCAGCACAGACCTCAAAATCCCATGCCATCACCTCAACGCCCTGCCAGCCCCATCCCGTACACCCCAGCCATGCATGAAGGAAGCTCTCCTTGCTGCATGCCGAGGGGTTTCCCTCCCACACCTTTATTACCCAGCACCAAAATCCTGCTGCTGAGAAGCTATGGAACATCTTGGTGCCAATCTGATGCGACCTCCATCCATACCCAGCTCTTGGTGTGTCCCTTGGCTGTCCTTGCCTTTTGCCTGTTGCTCCCTGACACCCCAGTAGGTGGTTTGGGAAACCTGGCTCCAGCTCAGCATCCTTCACCCCCAGCCTTCTGCCCGTGGGAAGTGACCAAGCAGACCAGCAGGACCAAGACTTTGCCAAGTGTTGATTTTGGCTGATGTGTTTTCCAAGCCTTTGGACAAGGCCACCTGCTCCTTTCAACCTTCCTTCTTTCCATCCCACAGGGAACAGTTTTTTGCCACCAGCATCACTCACAGCATGGAGCCTCTCTGGCTCCAGGGGAGGTTCAGGGTTTTCCATCCATTCCACATGGCTGCTGTTTTGTACACAGCAATTTTCCATGGAGCTTTTGTCCACCCACCTGGCAGTGCCTCCCTGTCCCCACTCCCTGCCAACCCCATCAGGTTATTGTTGAAGGGGGGACCTGCAGCTGGAAGTGCTGCTTGGCCGGGTGACAGCCAGTGGTGGTGGTCCTCATCCGGGCTGCTCCCCAGAAGGAGATGCAACCCAGCAAGGCTTTTGGTGCCCCATGGGAACCACACCACCCCATCCACTGTGCCTTGGCTGGTGGGCTGAAGCAGCTGGGGGTGACTGGGAGACAAGTGGGAGTAACTGGTGAGCAACTGGGAGTGACTGGGGGGCAGCTGTAGGGCTAAAGAAGAGAATCCAGGGGACAAAAGCTATCAGCTTGGAGTAACTGGGGGCAGCTGAGAGTGACTGTGGGGTAGCTGTAGGGCTACAGAAAATAATCAAGTGGGCAACTGGGATCAGCGAGGGGTGACTGGGGCAGCTAAAGGTGACTGGGGAGCAGATATAGGGTTATGGGAGAGGATCCAGTAGGCAGCTGGGGTAATGGGCGGTAGCTGGGAGTGACTGGGGGCAGCTGGGGGCTTGTAGGGGGCAACGAGGTGAGACTGGGGTGCAACTCGAGGTAACTGGTGAGCATCTGGAAGTGCTTGGTGACACCTGTAGGGCTACAGTGGGCAACAGCGGTCAGCCGGGGGTAACCGTGCAGCGAGCAGGGTGCAGCGGGCAGGGTGAGTGGGGTGGGCACTAGGACCGCGGAGGGGCAGCAGCGACCGCCCCGCCCCTAGCCCCGCCCCTTGCCCCGCCCCTTGCCCCGCCCCTTGCCCTGCTATTACAGGCGCTCAGGGAGGTTAGGCCTGACGGCGCGGCGTGATGACGTTAGCCGCGGCGCGCGGCGGCGGGTCTCGGTTTCTCCGCCATGGCGAAGACCGTGGCCTATTTCTACGACCCGGACGTGGGCAACTTCCACTACGGTGCGGGCCGGGCGGAACCGGGCCGGAGGCACCCGGGGCCGGGCGACGCAAGGGGCCGCGCCGGGGCTGGGGCCGGGGTCTGTCTTGGCGCGGGGCGGGGGCATGGCCTAGCCCGGCCTGGGGTCGGTGCCCTCACCGGCGACTCCCGGCACGGCCCCGGTGTGTGGGGAGCGGCCGCCGTCCCCCGGCGGTGACTCCCCTTGTGTTTCCCATTCAGGAGCCGGGCACCCCATGAAGCCGCACCGCCTGGCGCTCACCCACAGCCTGGTCCTGCACTACGGGCTCTACAAGAAGATGATCGTAAGCAGCGGGGCCGTTCCTGGGGCCGGGCGCGGCGACAGGGGGCTGCGGGGGGCGGCTCTGGGCAGGCAGCCACCACAGCTGGTGTTCGTACTTCAGTACGCATGGAGGGTGATGGAAAGCTGTGCTGTCACCTGCCTGCTTGAGTTGTGGCCTCCGTAGTAGGGCTTGACCCATGTTAATAGGTTCTTCACAGCTTTCCTGTGGTGCTGCTTGTCCTGCAGCTCCACTTTGGCCCAGCAGGTAATGGAGTTGTTACAGACAAGGCTTTGAGCAGTCGTGAGCCCCCACTGTGACATCCAGCACTGATCTGAAAGGTCCCATCATTAGTGGTCAATGTCTTGGTCAAGTGTGTCTGAAGCTGCAGCAGGGCTGCTGTGTGGCATTCCTGTGTCTGTAGCCCCTTCCTGAGTTGACCCAGTGAGCACTGTGGACTGTGTGATCATAGAACAATTAAAGCTGATCTCTAAATCAAACCCCCAAGAGGCTTCCTTATTCACCTTGATGCTGTAATGAGGTTCACTAATCCCATCTCACAACTGATGGCTGAGTGCACAACCTGCTCTTCAATGCTTTTGTTGCCCAGCCAGCTCCAACTGAGTCTAGTGGGCTCTTAGTGTTGACCTGACAGAATGTAGTCAGCGTAGAGTGATAGTCAAAAAGCAAACTTAAGTCTTCCCTCTTCTAAGAAATGATCTACTTTGGGGATAATGGCATATAACTGTGAATGTGTGGAAGCCCTTTCTGACATCTGTTTGATGTCTCTTGGTGCAGGCAGGGTTGAACCCTGCACCTTTCCCTAGAATCCTTGTTCACTTTTCTGCCCCTTCTTGTAGAACAGAGCAAATGAAAAGCTCTCAGGAGCACGGGGCATGTAACTTAATACCTCACAATACAACATCAGGGCAGGAATGATGAAAATCGTCCAGGTTTGGCCCTATTGAGGTGGCTTTTGTGCATTTTTATGTGCAGAACATGCCACCTGCAGCTGCTGATTGTCTTGGGGCAGCTTCTTCAGTCTCTTGGGGGTTTGTTCTCGCTTTCAGTGAGTTGTTTTGAACACTGAGTGATTTAATTCCTGGCTGGCCTGTTTCCAGGCAGTGCTATATGATACAGAGGCTGGGTGTAGCTGCTGCCTATTGTCTGTGATCTGTTTGATGAGCCCTGGGGAAGGGCCTGTGTCCAGAATGTTCCTCCTATTGTAAACTACAGCTCCAGGCACTCCTGGGTTTATGTACGTATATGTATGTATTTATATATGTACATACATGGGCACACACACTTATGCATTTACAGTGTCTTTTCATGGGAAGTACCCTGTTAAAAAAGGTAAGAAGCACTTCTGTCACGGTCATCATTGTGCATAGTTAGAGAATAGGGAGGCAAGGTGAAAGAAGGGCAAAAATGCACCATTACTCTGATCTGTGAGGCTTGTTAGGACTTTCCTATGTCCTTCCTCTTTCCTGCATGTTCCTCAGTCTTCTGCAGTCAGGTTCTGCTCCTTGTGATCCTCTGCAAACCAGCAGCTTCCCTTGTTACTCATGAGTCTGAACAGGGATGCCCCATCCCTGGCAGTGTTCAAGGCCAGGTTGGACAGGGCTTGGAGCAAGCTGCTCTAGTGGAAGGTGTCCCTGCCCAGGGCAGGGGGTTGGAACTGGATAAGCTTTAAGGTTCCTTCCAACCCAAACCATTTTATGGTCCTATGGTAAGTGGCTGACCTTGAAGTTTAGACTGCAGTTTGTGCTCTCAAAATGACTGTAGAACTCAATCCTGGGTTGTTGTTTGCAGTTGTTTGCAATTGTAGATGATTGCAATGAACTGGTAATAGTTGGGCTTGTTCTGTGGCTGTAGAGAAGAAATCAGGATGTCTCATTGCTGTATTTTCACACCTGCAGCAGCATGCCTTAGTACTAAGTTGTGAGCTGCTATGAAAATGTGATTGTGCAGAGCTGCCAGACAGAAATGTGTCACTTCCAGTCCCCTCCAACAGCTCCACATCCTTCTTATGCCATCTTAAAGCTGGAAACCACAGAGGAAGCTGCTTCCTGAACAGTCAGTGACTGAGAAAGTTATGAGCAAATAAAAGCAGGGACTGTGGTCAGCTTTGACTATAAAAGGTCCTGTTAAGGTTGCGTTGTGGTTACATTGTTATGTGACTTCTCTGCCTCCTCCAAATAAAAGGCTGCCATCCTGTCAAGCTGGGTTTGCCTCCTTCCACCTTTCCCAGCTTCCCTGTGGCTGTGGTGGTGCGGGAATGCAGTGAACTTAGGGGTAAACTTAAACAGGGGAAGTACAGGTTAGATATAAGGAAGAAGCTCTTCCCTGTGAGGGTGCTGAGGCGCTGGCACAGGGTGCCCAGAGAAGCTGTGGCTGCCCCATCCCTGGCAGTGTTCAAGGCCAGGTTGGACACAGGGGCTTGGAGCAAGCTGCTCCAGTGGAAGGGGTCCCTGCCCATGGCGGGGTTGAAGCTGGATGAGCTTTAAGGTGCCTTCCAACCCAACCCATTCTGTGATTGCTGGGAGCAGGGTAAAGGGTGGAAGGAGGCAGGTTGTTTCCTCTGCCAGCAGCTGAGCCGGTCTTGAAGCTTTTGGTTTTCCCCGCATTTTCCTTTCTGCTTTGAATCATACATCCTTACTTTTTGTTCTCCAAGAGAGCCTCTGGATACCTTTGAGAATTATTTCTTCTCCATTATGACTCTTTAGCTTTGGTTTTGGTCTTGTTTGATTTAATCAACCATCAGGCTTTCTGGGAGAGCCCTCATGGGGTCAGGAAGGCTGCAGCAGCTACTTCAGCAGCTGCACTACAGGCTCATGCTGTGAATTGCTTCATCCTCCTTCTTTGAGTTGTCAAGAGGCAGCAGCCTCTGAGAAACACCAAACCCCACACATCTATGTGGAAAATTCCATTATTGCACACAGATGGGATCAGGAAAGGAGATGACAGGTTTGTTCTGTCTGAAAACTAACAATTCTCCTTCTTAGCCCTTTCCTGGGTACTTTGGTGCAGGTGCCCTCATAAATTTTCCCTTTGGACACAAGTTTGTGCACTTACATTTTCCTCATGTTCCACTTTTTCTGTAAAGGGCCTTCTTTAATTAAAGATAAATTGGGAAGCATGTAAAAGCTCTCTTGTTGTTTTTAGTGCAACTCAGATTGCTTCTTGCCAGGTACGTGGTGTTAATTTTTAACTCCCTGTATATTGAGGTATGTGCGTTAAGTGCCAAACTGGCAAGTCTGTATTGTCACAAGGGCTTGAATTTGAATCCATCCACTTCCCTGAGCGTTTTTTGCCAGCTTTCCAAAGAAAACAAAGCTTATGCAACAATTCATCTGTCTGTGAGCTTTCTGCAAGTAACTTTGGAACCTCTCAGTCCACTGCAGGCAATTCCAATGGAGGGACCAAAACCATCCTTATGTCAAGGACTTAAAATTGTGTGAAAGCTGATAAATAGTGCCCCCAGCAAAGAGAAAGCTTGGTAGGAAAATGGGCTTTGTGGAACTCCTGGAACTTAAATGAACAGAGATGTCAGGAAGCCAATGTACTGGGATGGGTTTTGATATATCACATGCAGGTTGTTTGTCCATTAGCTTGAGACTTCTCACAGCCAAAGCAAACCCAAGTTTGGATGGGAAATAAGTCTTGCCTTTCTCTCTTGAAGGTTTTCAAACCATACCAGGCATCCCAGCATGACATGTGCCGATTCCACTCTGAGGACTACATAGACTTCCTGCAGAGAGTGAGTCCCAATAACATGCAGGGGTTCACCAAGAGCCTCAATGCCTTCAACGTGGGAGATGACTGGTGAGTGCTCTGTACCTCCTCCACAGTCAGAAATGAGGTGCTCATACATGGCTGTGTCCAGAGAGCCCATTTAGGATGTCCCATTTCTTTGTTTTTAACCAGGCTGAGCTTTGTGTCCCTCTTGTGTCTCAGATTACTAGAACCTCCTCAGTTCCTTTCATTTCTCCTTAGCTCTTGCAGTCTTCCTTTTTAGATCCACATTTAGGCTGTAAGCTTGTTGCATTAGAGATGATATTTCTGCTTGTTCTTGCAGAGCCTCAGTTCTTGAACATGCTGACTATCTCTTTGAATAATTTCCTGCCCTTTTAGCCATCTTAATATATGCATGTTAAGTTCAAGACAGCTTTTGAGAGCCTGAGTTCAGGTAGAACTAGGAGATACTCATGCTTCTGTACAAAATTATGAAGATCTTATTGAGAACATTCCGTACCAGCCTTTAATGCTTGTGAGAGATGAAAAACTTGAAAGAAATGTGTGGAAGGGCTCTGTGGCTGACTGAGAAAATGGCAATATGTCTTGTATGGTTGAGGATTATAAGGGCTGTCAGTAAGATTGTTCCTGTGTATCCTGTGGAGAGGAAAGCTTGTAAGTACTATCATGGGAGGAGTTGTTTTAGAGAGCAGTGTTAGCCCAAGAAGATACCAGTATAGCCTGGGGTTTAATATTTAGGCTGAGAATAAGAAAACTGTTCTGTAACCTTGCTGCTCTGATGATTGAAGACCATCTTAACAGAAATGAAAGGGGAAATAAGACCCTGTGGTCTTTGAGCCATTGCTTGACCATGAATGAAATGTGGGACACTATGTCAGCCAGCTGGTGACACAGGGGCTGCATGTCCTGTGCTTCTGTGCTCTCCCAGTGCCTGGGCTGGCTCTGTGTGGTGGAATGGATCAGACCTTAGTGCTGTCATAAAAGTTGTTTTCAACGTGACCCAGCAGTAAGTACTTGCAGCCCAGAAAGCCACCCATGTCCATGCAGAGGGGCTTTGGACAAGGGCCTGTAGGGGTAGGACAAGGGAGAATGTCTTTAACCTGCTAGGAGATATTAAGATCAGCTCTCGGGCAGAAGCTCTTCCCTGTGAGGGTGCTGAGGCGCTGGCACAGGGTGCCCAGAGAAGCTGTGGCTGCCCCATCCCTGGCAGTGTTCAAGGCCAGGCTGGACACAGGGGCTTGGAACAAGCTGCTCCAGTGGAAGGTGTCCCTGCCTGTGGCAGGCATTGGGACTGGATGAGCTCTAAGGTCCCTTCCAACCCGAACTATTCTAGGGTTCATCCCCAGTTGCAGTGTATGGCATGCAGGGCTGTGTGCCTGGAAGCAGAGTGGGGGCAGGATCTTCTAGATACAGCCATGGGGGAGATTAGGAGCAGACCAGCCCTCCCCTCAGCATCTCTCATCATGTCCCAGATCTGGGCCCATGTCAGCAAAGTTGCAGGACAGGCTCCAGCATGGTTGTGAGCAGGGAAGCCTTGTCAGGGCTGGCTTGCAAGCTTTGTTAATCACTATCAAACTCAGAGTTTCCCATTGTGTTTGCGTCTGGATTGCTCCCTGCTGGCTTTCAGCGTGTTATAAGCAGGGTCAGAGTGATCCCAAATGAATTGTTTCACAGAGAGTGAGTTGTGATCTTGCTCAGGTGATGTCCCTGGACAGTTTTATTCCTGGCTTTGTTCTGGAGAACAAGGTGATGTCCTGTGGTTTCTTTTCCAGCCCGGTGTTTCCAGGCCTCTTTGAATTTTGCTCTCGCTACACCGGGGCCTCCCTGCAGGGAGCAACACAGCTGAACAACAAGGTAAGGGAGCTGCTGGCCTTATCTTTTGAAATGCCATCATAAAAGCCAGCTGTGTTTAATTTAAGAAGAACCTTCTGGCTTTGTTCTCTAAAGCAGCATAGCCAGCAGTGCTGTGCTGCAGTGTGAATACCTAGTGCTACAGGACTGTTAAGCTTAAGCATGTTCCTATACTGTCAGAGGCAGCCATTCAGTAGATGTTTAATCTGAATGAAGTCGGAGGATAATGATGCACATACTAAAGCCATAAAGTTCTCTTAGCACTGGGGAATGAACCTGGAGTCCTCAGTGAAACTGGCTGCTGAGAGACCAAGAGTGCTGCTAGATCTGTGCTATGGGCATGCACTGAATGAGCACACACAGAAGGTCTGAAGAAGAGGGTCACTCAGGAGTGTATGAAAAAGTAATCTACGTATGTTTGAGTCAGAGACTGAGAAAGGTCTGATGAGAGGGAAGAGCAAGTGCAGAAACAAACTGTGTGTGCCTGGTGCTGGTCTGCTGCTGGCTGAGGAGGACGCAGTGGTGCTGCGAGAGGATCTTCTGTGCTCTAGCAGGGAATGTAGAGCACAGGGCTAATCCAGTATAGATGTGGTGTAGCCAAAACCAGTTACTGTGGGGATGGTGAGGCACTGGCACAGGGTGCCCAGAGAAGCTGTGGCTGCCCCATCCCTGGTAATGTTCAAGGCCAGGCTGGACACAGGGGCTTGGAGCAAGCTGCTCTAGTGGAAGGGGTCCCTGCCCATGGCAGGGCTCTGGAACTGGATGAGCTTGAAGGTCCCTTCCAACTCAAACCATCCTCCATAAGCAAAGGAAAGGCCAGAATGGTGTTTGTGTGCCACAGGGCTGGGCAGATTGAAGTGGGTGCAAGGTTGTTGTTACCACATTGTCACCTGAAACTAACTTACCTTTCCTTTCCTAGATCTGTGACATTGCAATAAACTGGGCAGGGGGCCTGCATCATGCAAAGAAGTTTGAGGTAATGAGGCAATTGTGTGTATTCCTGACTTGGTGAGGCCCCAGCTCTGTGTTCATCCTGTTCTAATGCTGTTCTGTTTTCTGTCTTACAGGCTTCTGGGTTTTGTTATGTTAATGACATAGTTATCGGCATCCTGGAGCTGCTCAAGTAAGTACCCGGGGCAAGTGCAGTCCTGTCCTGGTTGGCTGTAGTTTCCCTTTTCTCTTTTCTCTGTTTCCCTTTTCATTTGCCTTTCTAGTATCCAGGAAGGCCAGCAAACAACTCAATTGTTGTCCTGGCCTCTTCAAATATAGGAAGTGGGGCTTGAGAATTGCAGTACCTGTCTCCAGTTTCACTGCATGCAGGTTAAGAGATACAAAAGAGTTCTTCAGTTCCATTTCTCATCCATCTGTGAAATGCTCATTTCAGGGTCTCCTGATTCTCAGCATTTTGGCCACAGTGAGCCTCTTGTAGGTAAATGCATATTGTGGCTCACAGGAGGCAGGTAAATGACTCCAATTGGTCTTGTTTTGCTTGAGTGGCTTGCGAACAGGATTTGAGCAACACATGGATGATCAAAGGACACTTGCTTTGAGTAGGAAAGAGATTACTTTTCTTTTTAGAAATTGAAAAATAAATTCAGAGTGGAAGAGTTACAGAAACACCTCCACCATTTTTTTTTTTTTTTTTTTGTATTTTCCAATGCCCTCCTTGCCCCTGAATCTGAGACATAGAATTAAAAAAGATCTGAGTTGACCAGACAGCAATTACATGACTGGTGACAAGCCTGCTCGTTCTCAAAGTCAGATGCATGGGATGTACTGGGGTGTCCTGTACCTCTTTCCTCTCTTCCAGTCTTCCTGCTCTGTGCTTCTAACCTCAGGTCTTCACTGTGAATCTCTGTGCACCCATTTTCTAATTTCATGTGAGTCCCATACATCGGAGGCTTCAAATACAGCCCAGTTACCCCTTACAAGAAGTTATAATATCACAGAATCCCAGACTGGTTTGGGTTAGAAGAGACCTTAAAGCTCATCCAGTTCCAACACCTCCCACGAGAGCAGCTTGCTCCAAGCCCCTGTGTCCAACCTGGCCTTGAACACTGCCAGGGATGGGGCAGCCACAGCTTCTCTGGGCACCCTGTGCCAGCGCCTCAGCACCCTCACAGGGAAGAGCTTCTGCCTAAGAGCTCAGCTCAGTCTCCCCTCTGGCAGGTTCAAGCCATTCCCCTTGGCCTGTCCCTACAGGCCCTTGTCCAAAGCCCCTCTCCAGATTTCCTGCAGCCCCTTTAGGCACTGGAGCTGCTGTAAGGTCTCTCCTTAAGGAGCTTTCTCTTCAGGCTGACCCAGCCCAGCTCTCTCAGCCTGTCTCTGGAACAGAGGTGTATTTGACCATTACCCTAATGCATTTACTTGTGATGATCTCCCTGTCTCCATCCTGTTTCTGAGACCCAGCAGGCTTCTTCTCCAGTAAATTTAGTGCAGTCTGGTGTTCTTGGTGCGCACCAGCTGGGACATATTGCTGCCAATTCTCTGTGACATGGAGGAAGTAAGTGTTCAGCCTCCTCTTTGGCTAGCCTGTTTTTCATTTCCTGATATGATTAAAAAGTGTTGGAGCTCTTAATAATTTACTGATGGCATCTTGCTTGTAGAGGGAACCAAAGCCTGCAACCCATGGCACGGGGGTTGGAACCAGGTGATCTTTAAGGTCCCTTCCAACCCAAACCATTCTGTGATTCTATAAAATAGGTTCTCTGTAATATGTGCTTCCCAAGACATTTCTGGCCTCATCTGAAAACCTTTAATACCTATTTCCAAACACATCAGAAGTAAATGTTTTAGTGGTGGGACATGTTTGCCTCTAAAATGTCTCCTATTGCGTTCTTCTGGTGAGTGGCTTATGGGTGGATGTTGGTGATGGTGGTCAGAGTATCAGGTGATGCTGAGGCATGGGGGGAGCAGTGAGTTTGTGAAGCAGACAGTAATGCCATTTCCTCTTGTGTTCAACAGGTATCACCCACGTGTGCTGTACATTGATATCGATATCCACCATGGAGATGGGGTGCAGGAGGCTTTCTACTTGACAGACCGTGTCATGACAGTGTCATTTCATAAATATGGGAACTATTTCTTTCCTGGTACAGGTAGGTATTTTTCCGTTATAGTGTGAACCTGGCCTCACTTCAGAATCCTTTGGAAGCTCTGCTGGAGTACAAAAGTGTAAAACCATGAAATGAGACCTGCAGGGACAAATGGTGGAAAAAAGGGCATGGAAAAGCAGTCACAGGGGAGCAGAAGTGTAGTTATTTGTTAAAAAGAGAGATCCTAGCTAAGTTAAGAGGTCTCAGCCCAGATCTGGCCTTCCCACACCTCTGAAGCCTCAGAGCTGTTGTGATTCTCCTGTCTTTCCCTGGCCAGGTGACATGTATGAAGTTGGTGCAGAGAGCGGGCGTTACTACTGTCTCAATGTGCCTCTGCGGGATGGCATTGATGACCAAAGTAGGTGTTTCCTGCCCTTTCCCCATGCCAAGGTTTTTGCTGGTCTTTCTCCAGAGCCAAGTTAAATCTACCTTTCTCCACAGGTTATAAACACCTCTTCCAGCCAGTCATTAACCAGGTGGTAGATTACTATCAGCCCACCTGCATAGTGCTGCAGGTAAGAAAGTGTATTCATCCCTTTGAGGTTGAAGTGGGCTGCTATCAATGTGTTACCTCCTGTTCCTGGAGAGTTAGGCTTCGTGTGTCCTGGCAAAGCTGCTCTCCCTACCCTCTGGTGAATAAGGGTGGACAATGGGTGGGAATGCTGTTGTGTCTGGAAAGCAATGCCTCTGTAGCAAGAACACTGTTGTTCTTTTTCTGATCCCCAGTGTGGTGCTGATTCTCTGGGTTGTGACCGTTTGGGTTGTTTTAACCTCAGTATCAGAGGACATGGGTAAGTACAGCAGGGCTGGGGCACAGCAGGTGGTTGAAAGACCATCCTTTAGTCTGAGGGGCTCTCCTGAGTCCTGTGCTGCGAGGACTGAGCTTTGACTTCAGCCTTCCAGCAGCACTAGCAGGATTTTGGGCTTTTTTTTCTTAACTCTGGTGTGACAGGAGGGAGTCTCAGAATGAGGTTTCATAGAAGGTGCTGGCTCACAGAGTAGCACATGGTTCAGGCTGCCTAGGTGGAAGCCCTGAACTTGGGTGTATCACACCAGCCATGCTGACAGTGGGACCTGGCTGTGTGTTTTTGCAGCCCAGAGCACCCCATGTGCTGGGCTGCATCCCCAGAGCGTGAGCAGCAGGTCAGAGAGGGGATTCTCCTCCTCTCCTGTGCACTGGGGAGACTGAGCTGAGCTCTTAGGCAGAAGCTCTTCCCTGTGAGGGTGCTGAGGCGCTGGCACAGGGTGCCCAGAGAAGCTGTGGCTGCCCCATCCCTGGCAGTGTTCAAGGCCAGGTTGGACACAGGGGCTTGGAGCAAGCTGCTCCAGTGGAAGGTGTCCCTGCCCGTGGCAGGGGGTTGGAGCTGGGTGAGCTTTAAGCTCCCTTCCAACCCAGACCATTCTAGGATTCTGTGTAGTGGTGTTTTAGTGCGTAGTGACATTTCTGACATATGGATGTGTGCTGCAAGTAACAGCTCTGGCATTTTTCTTTTGGGGTTTCTAGGGAATGTGTGGAGTATGTGAAGAGCTTCAATATCCCCTTGCTGGTGCTGGGAGGAGGTGGTTACACAGTCCGCAATGTGGCACGTTGTTGGTGAGTCTCCTCTGCTTGTTGAGGGTCACTGGATAAGCAGTTGCTGTGGGCTGTGTCCCTTCATGCACTGCATAGCTTTCTCTGGACTGAACTTCTCTTACTCCGTGTTTCCAGGACTTACGAAACATCATTGCTTGTCGATGAAGCCATTAGTGAAGAGCTCCCTTACAGTGGTAAGTTGGAGTTTTGTGTTTTCCTCATGAGCTAAGCTATTTGTTCCATCAGCTTAAGAATTAACACTTCTGGTCTGCATTGACCAGAGGTAGGAGAAGGGTGAAAGAGGCCTTGGTTGTCTTCTACCACCCACTTTGCTGGGCAGACACACCATTACTGTCATGTATCATTTAATCCAGATTGTTTCCTTCTTAGTGACCTGAGTGTTCATTTTACTGGCTGTTTCATACAATTTCTTGTGGATGCAGAGCTATAAATAGCTCTGATTTTTAGGGTCTGGTCCCTCCTAGCATGGTGGGAGTGAGCTCTGCTCTCCGCAGAGCACTCTGGGCTCTGTGCTGTAACTCTCTCATTCCATCACAGAGTACTTTGAATACTTTGCTCCAGACTTCACCCTTCATCCTGATGTCAGTACAAGGATTGAAAATCAGAACTCCAGACAGGTAAGTCCTTGCAGCCTTATTGCAGGGGTAGCTGGTAGTAACAAAACCCTGGGGTTGATGCTGTGCCCTGTAAAACCAGGTAGAGGTTTCCAGGCAAGGAATTCTTGTGGGGCTGTGAACTGACCAAGAACAAGTAGAACCTTTCATTTGGGATGTCAGGAAGTCTCCCAGCATTTGAAAGCCTTGCTGGGTTCCCTCTTTTGTGTGTTTGAGTTTCAGTGACTGAATTAACTCCTTCCTCTGTCTGCTCTGAGTTTCTTGCACACTTTTGCTTCTCATGGCCACCACACAGGTGATGCAGGCAGGTAGCAGCGGTTGATGCACACTGCCAGATCTCACTGTGGTCATGCCTGTCTCTTCCTATATAGTACTTGGATCAGATCAGGCAGACAATATTTGAGAACCTGAAGATGCTGAACCATGCTCCCAGCGTGCAGATCCATGATGTCCCTTCTGACTTGCTCAGCTACGATCGCACAGATGAGCCTGATCCAGAGGAAAGAGGCTCTGAGGAAAACTACAGCAGGTACCAGATCCTATTCTGGAGAACGGGGCTTCCCTTCCTGTCCTGATACACTGGAGGCCATCTGTTTCCTAGAAAAGATACTAAATCATTTCCAAATCTCTGGTTTTATCCAGAGAGCCTCTATCTAGAAATGTGTGATCTCCTCACATAACATGTTACGGGCTATCCTGGCCTTCAGTGGTGGAAGGCATTCTCTTGTGGCCTCCAGGGTGCCAGGGCTGTCCTTGCTGATGGTGATTCTCTCCCCCCAGGCCTGAAGCTGCCAATGAGTTCTATGATGGTGACCACGATAACGACAAAGAGAGTGATGTTGAGATCTGAGAGCTCTGCTGTGGGGCAATGGACTGTGGGGAGTCCCACATTGGACATGGGTGCTTGGAGCAGGTAACTGGTGTAGGACCCAGTTAGCCCTCCCTTTGAATTTGATTGTATGGAGTGGCAGCAGAAACAATACCACTGCAGGCTTCTGCTACCTGGAGAGGCAGAGAGCAGGGAAATGTGTTCCTTCCTTTCTACTGTGTTATGGTTCCAGTTGTTGCTGCTCTGGGATATGGGAACTTGAGTAGCACTCTATCTGTGCTGTGTTCTGCCTGCAGCTGTGTAGCTGCCTTCAGAACCTGACCCATGGTGGTTCCTTCACCTCATATAACTCCCATGCAGGCTCCTGCCAGCAGCATGGAGCTGGAGCGGTTGTGCCTACGATCTCTGCCTCTCTTCTGCAGCAGCACCTGATACATCCTGCCCTCCCCAGCCCTCAGTTCAAGTACCCAGTTGCCTGTCCTCTGAAGCCTGCACTGAAAGCTGCTTCCTGATGTCCCTCCTAACTGTCCGATGCTCCACAGCTCAAGGAAAACTTCAAGAAGACAAGGCCAGTTGTGGGATAGGGGTTGGGAGAGTCCCTGGGACAGGGAGCAGCTTGATGGAGCAGGATGGAGGAATGGATGCAGGGCATAGTCTTGTTCCTCCTCTCTCCTTCACCCACTCAGTTTTTGTGTTCCAAATGAGTACTGCAATACTTTGAGTTGGACCTAACTTCCCTGTTCTCTGCATTCTTCAAGAGGCTAAAATCACTGGAGCAGAGGTTTGGGTGTTGTACTTGTCAGTACAGAATGTGTCTTGCACCTCTAATACACCTTCCAGCTGTGTTGTCCAAGGTCACACATGGCCCTTCTGTGTGTCAGCAAGCGATTTGGGCTGCTTGCTCAGAGTGGAAACCATTCTCTCTTCACTGTAAGATGTTACTCTGCTTATGGGCGAAGGAAGCTGCTTCCTCCAGGGCCTGCCTACTCGCCCTCACACAGCAGAGATTTCCCTTGGCCATCCCTCAGATCCCAGACTTTGCTGCTCCTCCTCCCAGATCATCACCTGGTACCTGGTTTGGAGCGCATTTGGGGAGGCGGGAGGGCTTTAGCCTCTCTCTGTACTGCTCTGGTTGTTTACCGATGTCTTTAAACATTAAAGAAGAGGCAATATTTTTCTTACCTGATCTGTTGTTTGTCTGTTTAATGCTCACACCCCTGGCTCCTGTCCTCAAGACTGAGAACATGAGACTCATCCCCAGCAGGGTAGTGTCTGAACATGAGGGCTATAAACCCATGAGTGTTGGAGGGGGTATCTCCAAATGTTAGAGGAGCATCAAATGAAGCTAGAAAGGGGCCAGCTTAAAAAGGAGATTGCTTTGCACACATGAATGTGAGCTGTGCAAGCTTTTTTCACCAGATAATGTAAATGTGGCTTAAGAAAGGACTTGGGGATGGGAGGGAAATCAAGGCTATCAATAAGAGACACTTCTGGGTTCAGATTGGTGGTGGCTGGGTGAGTGCTCTGGGGAAGCATTGCTGATGCTTGCCCTGTGCTTGTACCATTCCTGCCTTTGTCATTTGGTCACTGCAGGGTGGGCACAGGGCTAGATGGGCCTTTAAGCTCTAAGATCCCTTTCAACCCAAACTGTTCTAAGATTCTATGAGACAGGATTCACAGTGCAGAGCTGCCTTTGGACACCAGGTGGCAGATGGATCTCTTGCTGTGTATGGAGACTTTTTGTCCTGCTGCTGCCTGTGCTTCCAGCCCTGGTGGGAGCCTGCCAGGGGGGCTTCAGACCTGGAGGAGGGATATGGGGGGAGAGTTTAGGGCGACCCCAGTGTGATGCAGCTGCTGCAGGGCCCATCAGAGGCAGGGGATCAATTCAGGCCCACCATATTTCAGGTTAAAATCAGTGCCCCTTGGTTAATACTGAGCTCAGGGTTATCCACAGGCCAGGCAAAGCTTCTGCTCTCCCCAGTCCCACTGCAGCCAGAGAGTGAACCAGGAGCCTGTGCTAGAAGCGTTCCTTCTGCCTGGGAAGAAATGAGGGAGTCAAAAAGTGCAGGTAGGATAATTAAATCACAGAACCCCAGCCTGGTTTGGGTTGAAGGGACCTTAAAGCTCATCCAGTTCCAACCCCTGCCACGAGCAGGGACACCTTCCACTAGAGCAGCTTGCTCCAAGCCCCTGTGTCCAACCTGGCCTTGAACACTGCCAGGGATGGGGCAGCCACAGCTTCTCTGGGCACCCTGTGCCAGCGCCTCAGCACCCTCACAGGGAAGAGCTTCTGCCTAAGAGCTCAGCTCAGTCTCCCCTCTGGCAGGTTCAAGCCATTCCCCTTGGCCTGTCCCTACAGGCCCTTGTCCCAAGCCCCTCTCCAGATTTCTTGTAGAACACTGCCAGTCCTGTTCCATTTGCCACCCACCAGCATGCTCAAGTCCTTCTCTGCAGGGCTGCTCTCAACTCATTCATCCCTCAGCCTGTACTGACATTGGGGATTGCCCTGGCCTCTCTGAGCATGGTGTGGTTTGTATGGCTCCAGCCTGTGCAGGTCCCTCTGGATGACATCCCTTCAAGTCCATCACCTTCTCCACTCCTCCTGCCTGCAGGTGAATCCAGGCTGTGGGTGCACTCAATCCCACTGTCTCAAGCCACTGATACTAAGTAGTGCAGGTGTCAGTATGGATCCTGGAGGGGGACAACACATGTTCAGTTTGGCCGTTGAGTCACTGACTGTAACTCTCAGGATGCAGCCATGCACCCGATTCCTTATCCACATAATAGATCCAGAGCTTTGCTGGAAGTCCTTAGCTCCAGAAGGCCAGATCCAAAAAGTATTTAGCTCCTAACACACAGCAACACGATACCATTAACAAACAGTGGTGCTGTATGCACTCAGCCAGGGGTCAGGGACCTGAATGCTTTGTGTGGCCCAAACCAAAGCTTATCTCCAAATGGAGCTTTGGGGGTCTCTGCAGATGCTGCCCAGCACTGTAGCAGAGCTCCCAGAATGTCTGCTCCTGGTTCACCAGGCCCTTCAGGTGCTCACAAATGCATTTAAAGCATCCCCATGTGCTCTTTGCATGTCCCCAGATTTCCAGAATGCTGGGAGCCATCACTTCTTTTTGCTCACAGGTGTCTTGCTAAGGGATCCCTGGCACAAGCATCTCCTCGAGCCAATACCCCCTTCCCTTGTCCTTTTCCAGTCCCATGTCCCCAGCTCCATCACCTCTCTCTGGTGAGGAAGAGGCCTTCAGCATCCTGCAGCTGTAGCTTCTCTCTTCCTCACACATCCATGCCTGTCGTGCCAGCATTGGCTGAGCAAGTGACAGTGAATAGGGATGGAAACTTCTCTCTTCCTCTGTTGCTTAGGAATATTCTTAGGGAAGATGGAGAATTCTGTCCCCAAACCCAGGAGCTGGTAAATCCTGGCTCAGAAGTGATGGGGGGAGCATTGTGGAATGACTCCAGTTCAAGGGGTCCTCTGGAGGTCTCTGATGCATCTGTCCTGCTCCAAGTAAAGGCCGGCCTGAAAGTTAGAGATTGCCCAGGGCCTTTTGCAGTCAAGTTTGAATCTCTTCAAGGACAGAGATTGGAGGATGCAACTGAGCTCCCTTCCTGGTGCTTGACCACCCTTGTGAATATTCACACTCTCCTTGTGTCAAGTCAGACCTTTCCCTGTTGGAGCTGGTGGCTGTTACCCCTTAGCCTCATCCCTGCTCTTGCTTCCTCGTTTCTCCTGTAGTGCTGCTGGGAAGCGCACATTAACAGCATCTCTACTTTTACAGAGCTCCGGGAGGGGTGCTGGTGGGGAACTGATTGCTCCTTTGCTCTTTGAAAGAGGCAGAACCTCTTTGGAGAGCTTTCTCCCCGGATGTCCCATTTCACCTCTGTATCATGTCCTAGGAGAGGGTTTTGAGCCTATTCCCTGGAGTTTCTGAACACTGAAGTCACTCCTCACCACACTGAGGCCCTCTATAAGTACAGGTACAGTATTAACTGTTCTGGGGGGTGTTTGTACATTCCCACTGTTTCCCACCCGCATGCGTCAGAGTCTGGAGAGGAGAACTACAACCAGCTCACAAACCTCCCGTAGCATGGCTGTGTATTTTAGCAGCTATTTCCATCTTGCAACAGGCAGCGGTGTTACCTGTATGTCTTGGGCTGACCTTCAGTTCCACTCCAGGGCAAGCAGCACTTTTCTTGCCCTTGCAGTGCCATCCTTTGGGCACCTGGCCTGCTCCAGCTGCAGCAGACATCCCAGTACAGGTATTTTTCCAGGTGGATGTGGTGTTCCTAGCAGAGGATGTGTAGAAAAGTAAGTGGGCGCAAGGTCAGGCTGCCCCCCAGGGCTGCCTTCTTGGGAGCGAGGGGCTGCTGCTGTCCCCATTGTGGGTGCTTGCTTCTTGGGGGTGCTGCAGGTGATGGCTGCACCCAGCTCTGGGATGCAGCTCCTGCCTGTCCCAGGCTGCTGCCACTGCAAGGAGCACTTGGGATATTACTGATGGGCTTGCACGCACTGTGTGGTGCTTACTGGGGGACACTGGGAGCTGGGCTTTGCCTGTGGTAGCCCCTATACTTACCCATTGCGTTCACACTGGGACATCAGTGCTGGGCAGTGATTTTATTTGCAATTTGAGCATCACGAGGCCCCTGCGTGAACCCCAGGCCAGGGCCAGCGGTGCCCAAGGGTATGTATTAGCCTTATGTGGGTTTGGGGGGGTTCTGGCTGTGAAAACCGGGGGCTTTCTGTGTGCCCCCCTGGTTTGTGTTCCCATTGCCAGGTCCCTTGCAGTGCTGTTTTCATACGCCAGGTGTGCGCAGTTGAGCCGCCTTGGCTCGCTTCCCGGGAGTGAGCTCAGAGGCTTCTGATTGGGAGAAGGGATCAGCTGCTTTGCTGACGAGCGGCTGACGCATCCCTGCATCCTTCTCTGCATCCCCCATCTCTCCCCCCGCGACCTCCTTTTCCAGACAAAGAGGGGAAGTGCTGGCTGCGTGCGCATCCCATCCTGCGCACTGCCAGCCCCCGCTTCTGCCCTGCCCCCCCTTCTGCTCTGCACCCCCCCCCCCCAAACTAGGATAAAGAGCTCCCATTGCCAGCAGCCTTTGTCCTGTCAGACAGCTTCCTTTGGGAGATTTGTCTTTCCTTTCAATGCCTGTGACAAGGGCATAATTGGGAGGGGGGGCTCCATCTGCTGCTGAGGGGAACAGGGGTTCGCAGGGAGAAATCACCTGCCCTGGCACACAAGGCAGAACTTGTCCCCCCAGCCTTTTGGGTGCGTGGTTGTCAGGCAGTTTGAGAGCAGGAGAAGGGATTAGCAGTGGTTTGTGCCATTAAAAGTGACAGGGATCTCTGTAGCACTGTGTGAGTCCCCCTCTGGACCCCTCAGCTGTGGGTGTATTAAGTGCCTCCAGTGCACCCCCTTCCTGCCCTGTGCTCTCAGCCCATTGCTGTTATGCTGGTGCAGTGCTTCTCTATTCCTGGCACCCAAAAACCCCTTCCCTGCAGGCACTATACATCCGGGTGGGTGCCCAGTAATGCCAGCATACCCTGGTCCTGCTGGGGACCACTGTCCCCTCGAGCCCGTGTCTATTGCTCCTGCCCCATGGCACCATCTCACCAAGCTGGGATCCACCCTGATGTCTCACTGTGCTTTCCCAGCACTCCCAGCCTGAGTCACCTCGGGGATGCTGAGCATACACCCGTCTTTAGCAGCCCCAGAGCTATGTTTTGCAACTTCTTTTTCAGTCCCCCTTGCTCACAGGGTGAGGTGTTCTGGCACCTCGTCTGTCGGTGCCCCTTCTTATGCAGCAGCACTCCACAAATACCTGATGCTTGGTGCACTCCTGATGCCAGTTCTGACCTGCCCAGCTCCCTGCCATCCCAGTGCCAGCCTTGCTTGGTTCCTGCCATCCAGGGGGACATGCCCATAGTTTTTCAGCTGCAGAAGTGACAGTGATAAAGCTAACACCCCTCTCACCCCCCCTGTGTCTGCACCCCAGGATGCTGCAAAAGCAGGAGCATCACCCCAAGCTCCAGCCTGGAGCTTCACCCTGATCCCACTAAAAGGATGGCTCTCTCCCAGGAAAGGCCCTTAAAGGTGTTGCTGTAGTGAGGTGGGGTTTGCTGTGTGCAGCTTTGTGGTGTGTAAGTGCTGGTACCCCCGAAC